TCTCCACCGTCGCGCCTCGTCAGGCGGGCACGTCCAGGGACGTGGGCGGGGGGCACCCCTGTCTATCATCGCAAACGGCATCGCGATTCATGGGGACTAGGTCTAAGCTTCGCTGACTCTTGCTCATGAGCCACAGTACAGCAGATTGACTGTCCCGCCCTCCAGACACCTCTCTTGTACGCCAAATCCAGGCAGGTTTTCCCTCGACACTGTGGCTTTGCTGTTGCTACTGAGGCAGGCCAAGCGGCGCTTCGTGCCTCATGATTCTGTCCAGAATCAAGGCCCATTTTCCCGGCGAGCAATAGGCACCTCCAGTTGTTCCGCCGCGAGGGATCAGGACCTGGAACCGTGTCTATATGACGTCATGGCCATCGACATCGAGATCGCTCGGCGGCTCCAAGTAACCCAGCAGCCCCGTTAAGCTGCATCAAACCCCACTAACGCAACGCGTGTACCTTTTTGCCCTCGCACCATACCAATCGGTACCTATCATCAGATGCACACTACGATCGATTCTCTCCTGCTGCGCGAAGCGTCCATCGCCAATGTGGCGTGTGATCGAGGTCATCAATACCACACCATAGCGGCCCGGACATTCTCCTCCGTCCAACACTGGCTGACGCACGTTCTGGAACGTCTTGGCCTGTGGCATTCAGCCCACCGTAAGCCACATCACCGTCACAATATTCTCCCGCCGAAACCCCATTGCCCTGAAGATCCCCCTTCTCCCCGCCCCGGCCATCTAGAGATGTTATCAAGTAACACCGTTTCCGTGTCCAGACAGGGTTATCACAGCTTGGAAGGGTCGAAACGGCAACGGCGGACGACAACTTTGCACCCGGTACCCCGCTGTGCAGGGCACCGCAGGGTCCCCAGACCCTTCAGGCGATTCAACGACCTTTTTTTTGCGAATTACCTTTGCTATGAGGCGTGGCCCCATCATCACGCACTCACCAAAGACCTCGCGGGTAGTGGTGTGACACGGCATCAGATGCTCGAAATTCGATCCCCGATTTTGATCCAGAGCACGTCGCCTGACTGCCTGACTGCCTCTTGAGGATTTGCGCCTGTCGTGCAATTGATGGGGACCTCAAGACTGGCACTGTGACGGTAGCATGGTCATGGCTTGATGTCAGTGTTACTGTGGGTGCATGCCTCATCCTCTTGCAGGCCCATGACAATCTGAACATGCTCGGGTCTCGGTCTCGATGGCATTTTCTTAAACCGTCTCCACCAACGGTCCAGTCCACGCACCTCTCGACCCTTCACGGCCGTGGTCCCGCTTTTGAGCTCGTTGAGCAAGGGCATATTTCCTCATTATGACGGCGAGTCTGAGCGACACGCCATGCTTCCCAGGTGCCTCGGCATGCGCCCAAGGGCCGCCGTTGGCTCGAACCACCTTGCTATCGACCCCTCTGGTTGGGGGAATAGCCTACCACGAGGTACGGAATCGTCCCGTGTCGGAATTAGCAATAGGGTAGCAGCAGATAAAAGAAAAAGACAAATGGGTGCGCGAACTTCGACATGACCCAAGCAGAAAAACAACTGGACCCTTTCCCTCCAAATCCCACAACTTCCAGGGTCCTACTCGAATGACATCATTCTGCAGCTCTGCTCTCTCCCTCCCCTCGTCAGCCGCAAAGCAAGCCTCTCTCTCTCCCATTGCCAGCAACTTGCCTGACTGGGTTTGGTTGGGCAGCCTGTTGCACTCTGTACAAGTAGAAGAACCGTTGCTGACCGTTCAGACCACCGTTCATTCCGTCAAGCGATTTTTCCAACCCTTTCTTACCCCCCCCCAGAATCGTGACCCTCACAGCACGCACTGCAACATCATACACACATACACACACCCTCGACGCCTCAGAACGCGCCTCATCACACTCCCTGCCCCCCCTGTCTCTGAC